CCCAGGAGGCGGAGGTTGCGGTGAGCCGAGATCGCGCCATTGCACTCCAGCCTGGGTAACGTGAGTGAAACTCCGTCTCAAAAAAAAAAAAAAAAATATATATATATATATATATATCATTACCTTTGATCTTTGTTAACATCCACCTCATGCAAAGTAATTTCTCTCCTCATGTTGTTTTTTGTTTGTAAAAAATATTATAGGTGCACTATTAACCCTTTTACATTTCTTTTGTGTTGAAATATTTGAGCCAAACACTGGCATTTTGTTTTTGTGTAGACACCAATTATTGGAAACAAATATGGTGATCAGCACAGTGCGGCTGGAAGAAATGGGAAACCAAAAGTTATTGCTGTCACTAGAAGTACTTCCTCAACTTCTTCTGGTTCTAATTCTAATGCCTTGGTTCCTGTTAGTTGGAAAAGGCCACAGTTATCCCAGGTACATAAAGAATATCAAAACGAAATATTCATAGAAGAATCAGTTTTGTTACACGTATGAAAATTTGAGAATTTGTCTTCTTTTATCAGTAGTCCTAACACTTTGTTTTTTTCTTTAGCGAAGAACAAGAGAAAAGCTAATGAACGTGCTTTCTCTCTGTGGTCCAGAATCTGGCCTCCCAAAGAATCCATCAGTGAGTAATCATGAAGGCCTCATGTCTCAAGGTCTCAAAGATCATGTTATTCCATGAAGAAATGATGTCTCCTTGCTTGCCTTTTTAATTTACCTTACTTATGGTATTAACTCAGAATGAAAAAAAAAATCTTGTCTCTTGTGACATCTGACAGCCATGCTAACTAGGTGTTCAACTAGTTAAACATGAAGACCAAATTTAAGCTCCGAATTCATTGAAGAATTAGGCCTTCAGTGGCTCTTGGGGTGCTGGTATCTCATATGCAGAGTGACAAATTTGATGGATGGCCTTTTTTTTTTTTTTTGTCGGTCATCAGGTTGTATTTTCTTCTAATGAAGATCTGGAAGTTGGGGACCAACAGACTAGCCTAATTTCTACAACAGAAGACATAATTCAAGAGGAAGAAGTAGCTATGGAAGATAATAGCAGTGAACAACAGTTTGGTGTTTTTAAGGATTTTGACTTTTTAGATGTTGAACTGGAAGATGCAGAGGTAAGGATGTAGGCTTTCTATGCTAATATTTATAGGAGAGTTGTATGAGAATTAAGGATTTGATCACAGGATCTTTCCTTATTGTGGTCAGTGTAAAGTCAACAAGGTAAATATCTTAATTAGGAACTAAATTTGATTACTACAATTAGTCAATAGCAGAATAAGTCTGAGAGAAAAGGAACATTCAATTTTTCATCTTTATCTTTAAAAATATAAAATTAAAAAATGGATTTCTTCACAATTATTTTTAGGGTATGCTTAGACTTAAATGTTTTGCATGATCTGTTTTTACAAATTAATATGTAGCCAAGTGGTAAAAATTTATATTAAAATTGATTAAGCACAACTTTAAAGAGAGTTGCACTTACCACTAAATTGGTATCACAAAGGGTTTGGCTTTCTAGAACTCTCCCCTTTGGCAAATGAGAGACTCTTTCTATGACATTCCAAATCACTTTCTTCTTTGTGATGTAGGTAACTTTCAAATGCCTGGTTTCATTTAATACTCAAAGGGTTTCTCCTCTAAATTGATTTAGTCTGGATTATATTATATTGGTAGTTATGTCAATTTAGATGCTTCCTAAATGGAAGTTAAAACTCAAAAAGTAGATTTATTAGCCCACAAAACTGAGCTAGTCCAGAGTTAGAGCTTATATTTAGATATGGCTCAGTGAAGTTTGTGGCTGTTTCTCTGCAGTTTTCTAGGCTCTGTCCTTCTCTGCAAGTCAGCTTGACCTCAGACAGCAGCAAAACAGTCATCATTGCTGGGTAGTCTTATTCCCACACACAGCAATATTTAGAGGAAGTGAGGGTCACTTCCAGAAATGCTCTTAAAAAAGTAAAGAAGTTGCTTTTTGAAATGCTCTTAGCAGACTTCTTGTCACATCTCATTGGCCCAAGTTAGGACACATGCTACTTTCTTAAACAATCACTGTGGTAAATAGAACAGGATTATCCTGGTTGTCTTAGGCTATTTATGGATCCATTCCTGTAGCTGAGCTCAGTTCCCCAAACTGTAATCTCTTAAACCTGGAAAGTTTCTATCAAACAGGTTTAAAAAAAAATGTACATTTTAAAATTGCTACAAATATCTGTATGCAAGAAGACCAAAATGCCTTAATACCAAGTATCTCTATATCATATCTTGATGTATCTTTTTCTAAAGAGTCAAAACTCATTCATATAGCTCATATACATTCAATTTTCATATACATATACAACTCATATACAGCTCATATACAGCCATCAGCTCTCATATACATATACAACTCATATACATGCACAGTTCATATATATTCAACTCTCATATACATATATAACTCATATACATTCATCAACTCTCATACATACATGTATACAACTCATAGACATATACAACTCAATATAGTTCATATACATTCATCAACTCTCATATACACATACAACTCATATACATATACAACTCATACACATCTCATACACATTCATCAACTCTTCCTGTAGGGATGTTTCCTTTGGCTTTAACAGGTGAGTTAGAGGAAAGAAATGTAGTGCACTCTCCCATATCGCACTGTTCATTGTCCATGAAAGACCAGTTTAGGGAAGTGAAGTTCCCTCTCCTCAGCATGCCTCAGTGCCCCCTGCAGATGTGAGGATGTGACCATGTTGCCTCCAAGTAATACAAATGCCTCATGTCAGCTTAGGAGCTATGTAGGCTTCAAAGAATACTCTACCATTTACATTTTCCCAAAGACACAATTGTATAGGTTCCTAGGAACTCAAGAACAAGTATTATTCAGCACCTTGCAGGGCAGTAGTTTTTAAACTTTTTTGATACTAATCCACAGTTAATATATTTTATATCACATCCAATTATACTTTTAAAAATAAAGGTTTCAAGAATATGCATCCAAACTCTATGCTATGCATACTTATATTTTCTGTTCTCTTCCTTTTCATTCTTTTTCAAAAAAGTGAAAGTCACCACCCTAAAATTAGTTTCACACTTATTATTTGAAAAATGATATTGTAGGAAATAGGACAGACTTACACAACCAGGTAGCAGAGTGGAATGAGCTGAAGAGGCCTGCTGCCTACCGAAGGCCAGGAGCAGCTTCTAAACTCTTGGGTAGTTATTTGCTTTTTTCAGTCCAGAATTTAAATTTCTGTAGGCAGGTTCTTGATATTTTTGTACTGGTAAGATTATTTTTCTTTTTGTTTGCCTTTTTTTGTTGTTTAAAGAGCACTGTAAATGCTTTGAAGTTCATTCAGTGCTTCAAAATGTCAGTGGTAATGAACACGGCTTTTAATAGAACCTTAGTCAGGCTGGATTAAGGATGTTCATTGTAGTTCTGTCTTTAATTCAAGTCATAGTAATCAGGGGTGGGATGGAGCACGCTAATTTATCCCTCATAATTAGGCCAAATCAGCGATACAGATTTTCTAAAACCTGGATATAGTCTTGTTTAAAATATGGTGACAGGAAATACTTTGATTGCTGTAAACTTAACCACTAATGAAAATTATAATAAAATATCTCCTCACTTTGAAAGCCCACAGTGCATATTCATTCATTCACCAAATACATATTAAGGCTGCTGCCATTATGTATTTTGATACATAATAATATTTGAAATGACATGTTCTAGGAAGGTGATTATCAAACTCTGACCTGCAGGGCCATAGGGCTTCTAAGATACCTTCAGAAACAGCTGGGACAGATCCAAAGACCCAAAGGGCCAAGCTCCTGGACACCTTCAACCAGAGCAGCTCTGGTTTTCTCAGTTTTGCACAGTTGACTCCCATCTAAAATTTCATTTAAAATAAGTATTCTTCTGCTTCAAAAACAAAAACAAAGATTTGAAAACTTCTAATCTGGACAATTCCTGTGTAAAGGGATACAGAAAAAACTGTCATATTTTGCTAGCCAACTCAATATGGTTTGTCATATCAAGGCCTAAGAAAAAGTGAAGGATTATATCCTTACAAAAGGAGGAGCAGCTTAAAATAACAGAAACATAACTTATATAAATCCTTAAGTGGGAGAAATTGAAATTTGTCTTATTTCCTCTTGACCTTTTGAAATTGGCAACAGTTAATGTTTTGATGGCTGTGATCTTGATTTTAAATTATATTTTATAGTAAAAAATGACCACTGAATTTAGCCAGAGCTATCCTACTAAAATAATTGTGACCTTGTATGTTGTCAACTGCATGTGGGTATTTGAAGTCAGTTTTTGCATTGTACTAAGTATTAAACCTTTGTAAATCTTGAAGATTTTCTTAAAGTTTGTGTTGCCAAAGTGTATCATAGAAATGTTGTTTTAAGTGTCTGTCTCTGACTTTTTCACAACATATTTTGCATAAAAAAAAGGTTTGAATCATATGTTGACTTTCTGCACAAAGCTTAATCCAGAGCTTGAATCAGTCTTTGGGTTTGAGAAATCACAAACAGTTTTCCCCAAAAGTGTAGTGTATATTTAAATGTTTGTCTTCGTTTTTTTCTAATTCTGTGTGTTTTCCTTTTTGCTAACCAGGAGCTGCAGGTAAGTTGCAGCGTGGTGTTGTGGGTTGTTTATTTGTTGTCATCTGTGATGTATTTGTCTTCTTTGTGGTCTGATTCATGTTTGTGTATTAGAATAGAAATGGCTTAGTAGATTTAATTGGTCCCCAGTAATACAAGATAGAAAGTCAAGAAAATTATTTAGTTAAAACAGGTTGTCAACCAAATAATTGTGATCTTTTTAAAAATCAATATTTAATGGTGTGTTAACAGTTTAAAGAAATTGAAGGGCTGATTGAAACTCTGCTTTTAATAATGCATTAAGTATTTTTCATCTTGGTATATGTTTTTCTGGCATATTACATTTAGTACATTTAGAAGCATGTATCTGAGATTTTAGAAATCATGTCTTGCTTTTCCAGGGTGAAAGTATGGACAATTTCAACTGGGGAGTCCGCAGGCGCTCACTTGACAGTATTGACAAAGGGGACACTCCATCCCTCCAGGAGTACCAGTGCTCTAGTAGCACCCCCAGCCTGAACCTCACCAACCAGGAGGATACAGATGAGTCCTCGGAAGAAGAAGTACTTACAGCAAGCCAGATACTCTCACGCACACAAATGGTATACAGTTCCCTTCTCCTACAGTGACAGTTGCTCGCGTTTTCCTCTTAACTTCCAACTTCGTAATTATTGTTTCTTGATTTTCCAGTTTTAATTTCAGCATAGGTGAAATGCACACGCTGAAATCAATCTACAAGATTGCAGCAGTAATGGAGTACCGTGTTGTTACTAATGACAGCACTAAAAGCACTAAACTTATTAGGTTGATACTGCACACCTATTAGCTGCTAAGATGTAACTTCTCTTGCTTCTATCCTAGTCACAATGAGTTGTTTTGGGCCCTATTAGAGGCCTTCAATGATAATATATTTCTGGTATCACTGTGCTTACCAACACCATTTAATTCACCACCTGCTTTGCTTTGCTTTTTCTTTTTCTTTTTTTGAGACAGAGTCTTACTCTGTCGCCAGGCTGGAGTGCAGTGGCACAATCTTGGCTCACTGCAACCTCTGCCTCCTGGGTTCAAGTGATTACCCTGCCTCAGCCTCTCAAGTAGCTGGGACTACAGGCGTACACCACCACGACTGGCTAATATTTTGTATTTTAGTAGAGATGGGGTTTCACCATGCTGGCCAGGATGGTCTCGATCTCTTGACCTCACACCACCCATTTTTCTTTCCTAGTTAGCATAGTATTGAAAGACAGAGCACAACTTTGGTCCCTTTCAAGATCAAGTAAAGAGTGAGTGGAAAATGAAAGCTGCAAGAGTAGCCTGTTATTTCGGAAGAATCAGAGTGCACAAAAGCCAGTAGTAGGGCTGGAACTTGAAGATGGCACTGTAAAGAAGGGGAAGGCACGAGGAGTAGCTGCCCTGGTACATGTGATAAGGAAGAGACCAGTGGAGACCAGGCACCAGCTATGGCTACACAGCTCTTATATGATTGCCTCCTTTTTTTGTTCTTTAGGGACAGGGTCTCACACCATCACCGAGGCTGGAGTGCAGTGGCGCAACCATAGCTCACTGTATTCCTAAACCCCAGGGCTCAAGTGATCCTCATGCCTCAGCTTCTCAAGTAGCTAGGGCTACAGGTGCATACCACATATGCACAGCTAATTTTTTAAATTTTTTGTAGAGATGAGGTCTTGCTATGTTGACCAGGTTAGTTTTGAACTCCTGGCCTCAAGTGGTTCTCCCGCCTCAGCCTCCCAAAGTGGCGGTATCACGGTCATGAGCTGCTGCACTCAGCCACCTGCCTTTAATTTAGATCCATTTGTTCCAGTCGGCCTGCTAGTCAAGTGCTGGCAATGATGTTGAATTGCAGGGCCTGAGCCGCGTTAGGCAAAATCTAAAGTGGTCTGTTTGTGATTGGCATCCAGTGTTCTCTCCTGTTTTTACATCTCATTGGTGCCAGTTTGTCTTTCAACTAACTGCCTCTCTCCCATTTAAGTGTTCAATGATGAACTGCTGCTGCTAACAGCAGCTATGTTGCCACTTACTGTCTATGATGCACGTGGTTCAAGGTGTTTTACGTGTATTAGTCACCATAACTCTCCTCCCAACACGCAAGGCAAGCATGGTTATCGCAGTTCTGCATATCACATAACTTATCCCAGGACACACAGCTAGAAAGTAGATTCGAATCAACTGGTCTGTCTCAAGTACCCATTCACTTAACCGTACCACATAAAGCCTGGTCCTCCATGAATAAATTTGCATTCAGCTCCAATGTGAATTTCAGTTTGTAGCTGGACAAACTGAAATAGTTACATAGTTACATAGAGCTCTTCCACTTTGGTAGTTTTTGTTTAGCAAAATTTAGCCTTTATTACTGCATACTTAGTTCTACCAAGGGGTTAGCCATTTACCCTAACAACACCCATTCTGGTATAGACTGGCAGGAAAGAAAAATGATTTTAGGAAATCTCAGAAGCTCTTTATAACAAAGCCCCTAACGTATTTTATGACAGAGAATGTTTCTTGTGGCTTTTGTGACAATCACTGACTCATAAATGAATTCTTCATTTTACTGTTTCTCTTTTTAGTTAAACAGTGATTCTGCTGCTGATGAAACAATGCCAGACCATCCTGACTTACTTCTCCAGTCTCAAGATTCCACTGGCAGCATCACAACAGAAGAAGTGCTTCAAATCAGGGATGAGACCCCAACTTTGGAGGCTTCTCTAGATAATGCTAACAGCCAGCTGCCTGAGGTGGGGAGAAATGGGGGCTGGTGCATGGCCAATCTGGGTTCTTTTTAGCACTCTTTTATAGCTCCTGCTTTTCTTTCAAAAGAGTTTTGAAATTGGTTTCCAGTATTTCTAACCTGTTGAGTTATTTTAAATGAAATAGTCAAATCTGATTTTTTTCGTAAGTTGATAGATTAAGGAAATGACCTACAGGTTAAAAATAATCTTGAGTGTTTTTAATGGGCATTTTGCATTGCAGAATGTGATGAGGTTTATGTACTGATGCTTCTGGGGTTGGCAAGCATCATCTATTGTGCTGTATTTTCTTAGAAGGACCGCTTTGGTTTTTTCTTCTCTTTTTGCTTTGTGTTGGGTTTATGTGATTGGTGCTGTGATTGGGATTAAAACCTCAGGCCAGCTGTGTTAGCAGTTGTTAAATGAAATCATTTAAAAAGACTTTGGAACCACTAGTATTAGGTTTTTTGGAAAGGCCTATGAGAAGTAAGCCAGATTTGAAGCTAATGACTGACCAAAATAAGTAAGTATTAGTTTTTTTTTTTTTTTTTTAAAGATTATTATAGTTTTTAAAAATGTAATTTTTATAGTGCTGTCATATGTGCTTTTTTTACTCCTTGGTAAGTATTAGGAAATGCTATATTTTTGACCCTGTTCATCAAATTAATTTAGTTATTAGATCTAATCAAGTTACCAGATCTTATTATTTTTGTAAGGTGATAAAACACTCTCACAGACCTGTTAGGCTCACCTTGTACATACTTGAAGTTTAACAGTAAGCAGACATATTTTGAAATGAAGGCATTTTGGCTTCCTTATTAGCAAGCCATCTTTAAAATCCTCATACTAATATGGCTAAGGTTTAGATAATTCAACAAATAATTTATTGTGGTTTCAGTAGATGCCAGGCATTCAGCTAGGTGCTGCAAAGAAGAATAGGGCGCAGATGGGCCTGATCTCAGAGCACATTCTCTTGCTGTCTATTAAGGAAGACAGAGAAGGCTTTAAAATACATTTCAGTCTGGAAAATTCAGTAATATGTTCAAGGCTTTACAAAAACCGAGTGGAAAGTAATCAGCTGTGCGCCAGGGGTGATGGTAAGAAAGGGCAGGTTTCATGGCAACTAGGACATTCCAGGCAGAGAGATACAATGTAGAAAGGGATGGCAGTGTGAAATAGCATGGTGTGTCCAGCTACAAGCAGGAAATTCAGTATTTCCAGAGAATAAAATGGAAGAGCAGTAGGAGCGATGAATAGGGTCTAAGAGAAGTCCTGTGTGCCACACTAAAGACTCAGGCTTTATCTTGAGATAATAGACATTTTTATTCTTTCAAGAGATCCCTGTTAAGTAACAAGCACTATACCAGATACCAAGATGGAAGCACACAGCATGTGATCATTCATTTATGTAACCAGTATCTGCGGAGCACCCACCTCATGCCAGGCACTAGGCTAGGCACGGGGCACATGGCAACTGTGACACAGACAAAGGCCTCTGGTGTTAGGGAGCTTCATTCTAGTAGGAGAGACAGATAATAAGCAGGTAAAACAAAATATAAATAATATGTCATGAAGTGCTTAATTCATCGTACTAAGAAAATCTAATAGTAATGTGGACTTGAGTAAAGGAGAAAGTTAGGGGTAGCATTTAAGGTAAAACCTAAATGACAAGAAGCAGCTCACCCCTTGACAATTTGGAGAGAGAAGGTTCCAGGCAGAGGAAGCAGCTGTTAAAAAGGCCCTGATAGGGAGGGGAGCACTACACACTGGGGGTCTGTTGGGGGGAAATAGGGGAGGGACGGGGGGCTGGGGAGGTAGGGAGAGATAGCATGGGGAGAAATGCCAGACACAGGTGAAGAGGAGGAAGGCAGCAAATCACACTGCCATGTGTGTACGTATGCAACAATCTTGCATGTTCTTCACATGTACCCCAAAACCTAAAATGCAATAAAAAACAATAAATAAATAAATAAAAATTAAAATAAAATCATAAAAAAAAGGCCTGATATATATGAAAGTGAGGCTGGAACGCAGTGAACAAGGAGAGGGGTGGGCCAAGGCACTGTCATGACACACTGTCATGACACGTGTCACAGGCCATGCAGCAGGTAACCATCGAAGAACATGATCTGATTATTTTTTAAAACCTTGGCCTTTCCTGTCGAAAATGGAAAGTAGGTTCTAGTCCCTGACACACAGAGCTTACAGTGAGGGATCATCACAGGAGGGCTGCGGTCTCCTTGTGTCAGTGAGGTCTCTAAGACAGAGGCGAGGAGGGTGGATTGGAGGAGATGAAGGAGCTAAGCTGGAAGAATATTAGCAAGAAGTAAGGAGGGCCTGACGAAGAGTGCACAAACGTGAGAAACGTTTACAAGGGAGAACTGACAGAATTTAGAGATGCATTTTAAGTAGACTATATTCCTTTCAGTTGCTGGGAGGTTTATTAGTTATTAAGCCAAACTACAGTGCCTAGTTTGGATCACACCATACGTCGTAACACCGGTGGATGAGAATGAAACGGATATTTTGAAAGCATAGTATTTTCATTTAGAAACAGCTCTACTCATATTAAAACTATCACCAAAGGACTGGCTATCCACAGGGAATATGATAGCCTTATATCTGTTGGATATATTGGCCTAATTTTTCTCTGTTTTGCCAAATGGTGTCAAATGACCCAAAATTGCTTCTTGTACCAAAAAAAAAAAAAAAGAGAAAAGCACCAAGATATTGAAATAAAACCATAATTATTTTTAAAGCAATTTCTTAAGACAAAGACTATAATTAATTTTAATGAGTGAAATATTTTCTGAATTAAAGGAATAAATCTACTCCTAAAAATATTTATTAGAATTTCTTCCCTTAAATCATGTTAATATTGGAAAGATGAAATGGCGTAGGCCAAAGCATTTCATGCCATGAGAAATGTTAGAGCTGGTTGTCCCTTCCTTCTCTGTAATATACACACGTTACACTCCGATCTCTAGAAGGGATTAAGTTCTTCACTTGTATTTACTCACGAATGGTTTCTTTTATTATTTATGATAGCTTGGAATCCAAGTCATGGATGACAAGTTATTCCTTATAGGAAAGAAATCTTTGTAACAAAGCATATATGCATGTATCATTGTCTAATAAGGCAAAGTACAAGAAAATTTGATTCTCATAATCTACATATAAACAATGGAATCCATTCCATCAGCCCCAAAAGCACTTTCTTCATGACATGTAGGCATTACTAGACATTTTCATTGCAGATAAAATATCATTTTGAAATTATTGTTCAAGAAAAATGACAATCCACTGCAGGTGTGAACTAATAAAAAGTGAGGGCATTGAACTAAGTTTGGGTTGAGATAACATAGTATGTTCATGTTGGTGTAGAAGGAAAAAGTCATGACAATAAATATTCTAGGTATAAGAGGTGGGCGGATCACTTGAGGTCAGGAGTTCGAGACCAGCCTGGTCAACATGGTGAAACCCCTTCTCTGCTAAAACTACAAAAATTAGCCAGGTTTGGTGGCGCATTCCTATAGTACCAGCTATTCAAGAGGCTGAGGCAGGAGAATCACTTGAACCCAGGAGGTTGAGGTTGCAGTGAGCCAAGTATTATGTCACTGCACTCCAGCCTGGGTGACACAGACTGCCTCTCAAAAAATAAACTTAAAAAAAATTTAAAAAAATTCTGGGTATAGAAATGTCTCTAGCACTGTCACATAAATTATCTTTCCAAATAACCAAATATTTTTTAGAAAATTCATCTGGAAACTTTAGAGTATATTGAACATAAGCTGGTGGAAGAATTAAGAAATAATTCTACTATATTATATTTAATGCTAAAGAAGAGACAGAGTTTGCTGCTTTCCCTGCTTAACTAAATCCAGACCAGTGTTCCCTTATACACTTGGCATTTTCATGGCATATTTCTGGGCCTTCGATATCTTCTAATCACTTTGCCTGCAATACCATCCCTTCCTTATGTTTGTCAAAGCCCATCTCATGCTATTTCCTCCAAGGAGACTCACCCTGGTTGCCTCAACCAGATGTGAGCTTTGCCATCATTGAGTACCAGCACTCATTTGTATGTTAACTGACAGTATTTACCATACATTTATAATACTCTGGTATATGCTATTGTCATTCACTTATTAGCCTAACCTTCTTATTAGACTGTAAACTAATTGCAGTTAGGAATTGAACACTCAGCCCAGAATCTAGTTAAAATCTTTCATTTTATAGATGAGTTTTACATATGAATAAAGGAAGGCCCAGGCTAGTCTAGGGTCATAGGCTCTGACTTTTTCTTACTTTTCTTATTTTGGAAGGAACATTCTATTTTTATCCATAAAAAAGAGTAAGAAACTACTGTACAACTGAGAAGTAACTCAGGTCCAAATATTCAAAAGCAGCTGATCTTTACTCTGAAAACTGTAACCATTAGTACTTACTTTCAAATTGATTAAACTAATACCCATGTAAACTAAAAACTAGTGTTGATACCATCATCATATATGCTTTGAAAGTGTTTCTTTTTGAATAGTGGCAGCTCGTTTATTCAACCAATATATATCCCTTGAGCCTCTACTACTTGTCTGTCACATAGCAACATTATTTCAGTAACATTACAATGGATAGAAAGGGCAAACCACTAGCATACTTTATAACGTATATTTTCATTACTCTTTACTTCAAATGAGAATATAGTCTTTTTTCTGGTAGTGAGCTTGTGATATGTTTAATTTTCAAAAGTATAATTATCTAAATCTCCTAATGTCTTCTGAACTCTAGCTCAGGCATGAAGCTTCATCAGTACTCAAAGCCAAAATGAGTTCTTATCGTAAGGCTGTCCTAGTTGTCTGGGTTCAGCCTCTTTCTGATTGGTCAGGACCTGTTCCTGCTGTGTGACAGCCCCACAGGACAAGTGGTTAACTGTTTTCAGTCATCTCTCCTACTTATATTCACAATATTCTGTGCTCCAGTGTAATGAAAGAAATGATATTTCAAACATGAGACAATTTATACTAATATTATAAAGCTTTACTTGTATAGTTAGAATATATATGAGAGAAGGTATTTTACCATAGCACATATTTCTAAGTAAACACCTAAATCCTGTTACTTAAGAGAAAAAAAAAAGTCCTCAATGTTTCTATATACTAATAGATATTTTAATTTCAAAAAATTTTAAACCTCTGATTGTTAAAAAATTTTATAACTGGCTCAAAAACTATAAAAGTGGCCAGGCGTGGTGGCTCACACCTGTAATTCCAGCACTTTGGTAGTCCAAGGCAGGTGGATCACAAAGTCAAGAGATCGAGACCATCCTGGCTAACACAGTGAAACCCCGTCTCTACTAAAAAATACAAAAAAA